GGGAAAGAGCTCAGAAACGGAGCGTTCTCTGACACTCCCCAGGGATGCAAGCTGGCTCTTGCTTCCCTGTCTCCCTTTTTTAAAAGTGAAATGGTCCCTGACCCTTTATTTATTTAGCTGAGTGCAAGCAATGCAGGGGAAGCGAGGGAATCGGGAGGAAGCCTCCTCATCAAGGAGGCCTGGGCCATCAGAACATCAAGCAGCAGGGCAATGGCAGGGCTGGTGACACACTGTGGGGGGGACTTCCCTGGAGACTGGAGGTTGGTGTGCTCTGAATGCCAGCTGGCTTTGTGAGCGATAGCCAGGCACAGCAGCGTTCTCGTGGTGCACAGAGCAAGGTTGTTCTTCTGGCAGTGCCTCGGAAAGGACGTTGCTTGGAAAGTATAGATCTTCTGAATACCACTTTGCTCTGGACCTCCCATACCCTCCCTCTCTGACTATTGGAGCAGGTTATTTGCTTCATTTGAAAACAATCAGGCATCTTCCTACCTCTGCCGTAACCTTTGTGTTACAGGGAATCTCCTACTGCCCTGTCAGAGGAGTTGGTTTATAAACCACAAAGAATAGCACTACTTTCTATTTTAAAAAAGGAAGTCCATGTGACGCAGCTCCTACTAAGTACAAAAATTCCTCCTGCTAATCCTACTTGTACATCTCCGGCCTGTTTGGCAGGAACTATTGCTCAGGAATGACGCTTCTGCAACTCACGTTGTTTGGCGTTTTTTGGCCTTTTTGAGGAGCTTGCCGAATGGCGTGCTGGACTTAGCTGATGTCTCTGTGAAAAGTCTGAGAGAGGCCACCGGCTGAGCCCATCTCTGGCCCATGGCTGGTCATGGTTAGCACACAAGCTGTTCCCTACTGGCAGATAGGTGGATTTCAGACCTAACTTGGAGGTGGGTTCTCCCAACCACCGCGTGTGGGTTCTCTTAGTTTCTTGGTCCCACCTCCCCTTCAATGGTATTGCATGGTTTTGAAGCTTCTGGTGCTTGTTTTCTCCCCTAATCCTGATTCTGTTTTGGATTTCCGGGCTGCTTTAGGAGTTTTCACTCCAGCGATTGGATGGCCTACTGGATGACCGAGTCAATATCCTGGGATTTTCCATTTTCAACCAGTCTCACGCATTCTTCCAAGAGTTTGTCCAGAGCCTCAACCAGTCCTGGCAGGAGAACTGCGATCACGCTCCTTTTACTGGACCAGCGGTAAGTAAAATCCTTCCCGTCATCCAGAACCTCCCTCGGTCAGAAGGTGCAGTAGGTCCATCTGGAACATGGGCCCAAGGAGTCCAAGAGCCAAGGGAAGCCTAGCGAAAAGAGCCACAGGCTTGTTTTTAGCGGGCATTGGGAATGCATTGCAAACCCCATGCAGAGGTAGAAACTCTGGTCTCGAAGGTACGGGTTCATAGTATTGACTGATTGTTACTTAATCCTACTAACCTCTGGGCTCAGGTGTCAAGCTGTGACATACGTGGTGTTCTCCAGATTTGGAGAATTGTAAGGCAGTCCTCTGACAGCCTGCAGTTGCCCAAACGGACCTCTGGGAAGAGCTTTAAAGGGCTTATCTCTACTTGAATGGCTGTCCTGCTTGAAATTCATGCCTGTCTTAATTTAAATTAAATTTATGTGCAAGTTTAGGAGAGAACGCCACCCTGATTCAGTGTTACCCTTATGATATTTGCCCTGGTGTATTTACCTTAGAAAAACAGCTCGTGGAAGCGAAAGAGGGAGTCTGGATGCAAATAGCACAGGGAGAGCTGGGCTTAAGCAGATGCCAAAAGGCTGTGTTGTGTTGCGTGCTCTAACATCTCCCTGATGAGCCCGCAGATCGGTGCTGAAATCTTCCCTAGGGACTCTGAATAACTGGAAGGGTTTGCGAAGCAGATTTGCCAGGTTGGGAATGCAGGGGGCTGTGCTTGGAGCTGGGGAAAGGGAGAGGAAAAGGCCCTCGGTGCAATGTTACCTCTTTTTAATGAACTCAGAGTCCCCTTGACAACCTGAGGCAGCTGTGTATTGCTGAAAACCTCCTTATTATCACTACAAAGCGATTCTAAGCAGGCAAAATAAAAGAGTCTTCTGCCCTTTGTGTCTGCACCTCTTGGCTTGCATGGAGGCAGCGGAGCTCTGGCTGTGGTGGAGCTCTGGCTGTGGTGAGTACGTGACTGGGACCAGCCTGCTCCTCCCTCAGCGCAGCCCTCCTGCACGGAGGCAGCTGCAGTGAGCTCGCCGGCCAGCCAAATCTCCGCAGGGTCTCTGTCAGGAAGCTTCCTATTTGGTTGACAGTTGCAGGACTGTTCAGAGACATTAAAAATTAATTTCCTTCTAATAAGAGAAACAGAAGACACCAGGGACAGGACTGTTGCAGAAAATAACTGAGCTTGCTGCTCCTTCTTAGCCTGGGTTGTCTTGAATGACCAGAAAAATCTGTAGGTGGAAGGATGCGAGAGTATGCCCTACTGCAGCATTTTTTTGTAAGAGTGAATGAGTTCAGAGCTGAATGGAGCTGTTTGGCTTGTGAGCCTGAGCCTAAATCACCCCTCCATGCAATATTAAGCCAGCTGGATGTTCTTTTCATTCATTCATAAATCACGTTCAGCAACACAACAGGCTTCCTGCTGGTCCCAAGAGGACACCACTGTAGAGGGGAGCTCAGTCACCCTGGATCACACTGATCTTGCACCGCTCCATGGCACATCCAGCCCTGGTGTCACTAGAGGCCCTACATGGGGCTGCAGTGCCTTCTCTTAGCTGGCTTCCCAAGCACCTGCTCTCAGGCTGCTGTGGACTGTACCAGGTAGCTCCCGGTATCCTAGATGTTGTTCAGCCGCTTAGGAGAAACTGTTATGGTTGTTGTACCAATGGGGGGTTGAGGTATGGAAGGGAAGTGATTTTTCCCGTTGTCAGAGGCAGGTAGTCTGCAGCACTGCTAGAAAACAGGTTCAGTTCTCCAGAACCGTGATCCACAGTCTTAACCAAAAGCTCTTTGTTTCTTTCTGGTTAAGGTGAGGTTCACTCTGCCTTCTTACTGAGGCTCCCATCCCCACTGAGCCATCCTATCCCAGGGGAGGAGAAACATGCCTTGCCTCTGGCTCTGGTGAAATGCACTGCAGCCAGGCAGGACAGTTGTCTCCTCTCCTGTGTCTGCTAGGGGAATCCATTATTTTGCAGTGCGTTGCCTCTCTGCCGTTGGTAATCTGGCAGGTCTCATCTCCCAAACAGTGTCTTTCTGTGTAAGAACTTACCCTTTTAGTCCCGAGAAGCAGATATCTCTTGGGATAGCTCATGCTAAAAAGAGAAAAGGAAGCTCAGCAGCTGGAAGTGACAAGAGGGAAGTTTCCTGTGAGCTGCAAAATCTCAGGGCTTTCTTGCAAGGGTTGAGCAAGTGTCTCAGGAAGGAGGAGGGAGCTGCTCGCTCTAATGCCATTCTCATTAATCACATTGCAAAGAAAGGAAATCAGAGAAAATCATTCAAATTACAGATGGCTAGATTAGGTAATTAGAATTTAGGCTAAAACAGATGTTTGTAATTAAGTGTTTATTTCATTGAATAAAATCCAGATTGTAAAGTCTATTTCACAGGATTTTAATGATTTTAATTCTCTGTGTTATGTTTGGGGGCAAAGATGCAGATGACAGTGTTTTAGGAAGAAGAAAAAAACCCACCGCACAACCTGAACCATCCAAACCTGCCCATATTTCCCTGGAGAACAGCTTCCCTTTAAACATGGCCTTTTACGTAGGAGATTTCTGTAAATAAAGAATACAGTGTGATCTTCCACTCCACCGTGCTGAACCTGCTGTTAATTTTTAGAAGGCCAGATTTGGCATTTAGAGGAAGATGTGCTGCATCCAACAAGAAGCCGTAGGGTACCAGGGCTGAGATCGGGTACCGTCCCTGCTCCAGAGGCGCCGGGGATCCTGACGCGCTCAGGTAGTTGCCTTGAATGCACTGGGGAGAATGGTCCTGCCAGCCGATGTGCACAGGGACTGGAGACCTGTTTCTTGCCCCTTTCGAATTAGCGAGTTGTTCCCAGTGCTTCGTAGCGTGTTTGGGCCCTGCAACGCATGACTATTTCTTGGGTACAGCCTGCTCCTAGTGCAGCTGACCAGCGCGCCCAGGGGAACCGAGCGACGAGCCTGTCTGCCCAGCCCACCGTCTGCGCTCCCCTTTGCTGGAGCGTCGCTCTGATGAGGCATCCATCACGTTGCAATTTTCATCAGCAGCTTTCATCACCAAGAATTAGGCTTTAGGGCTTGAGGGAAATCTTCTGAGACCTGAGAACTTGTGAGAGAGGCAGACCGGCGCTGAGCTTACCGAGTCTTTCACGTGCAGTCTGCCGCTACGGGAAAGGTACAGCAACTACAGTGACCTGCACAAATCGGGTGAGGCATGCGAGGAAGAGAATCAGTTTGTTAGCAAGCGAATTGGCTTTTTATGACAGAGTGACAAAGCTGTGATTTAAAATGAGAACGTAAAAGTAGCCAGAGATTTTACAGGCAGCATGGCGAAACTTGAGGCAGCGTACCTGGGAGCGGTGACAGATAGTCCCTGCTGACTCTACCTGGAGCGAGTTAAAAAGATGCTGCTGCCTCCGGCTCTCTCTGCACTGTTCTGCTAAAGGTTATGGCCTCAAGGCGTGGAGGCCACGTGGCTGCTCCAGTGCAAAGTCAGGCAGCCTAGCTTAAGTCAGTGGTAACTGAAGCGAGCCTTTTGCTATTGCCTTTATGGGCAATGGGAGAGAGCTCAAGTGGTGAGCTTCTCACCCCCCACCCTTCCCCTCTCCTCACCGGTTAACCTTGCTAAAAGACATTTTTCTACCTATGGAAGACCTGTAAGCAGAGGAAAGAAGAGTGTAATACAGCAAAGGGACTGAGTGCTGATGGCTTTCAAAGTGATACTGAAGGGACGGGGCTCAAGGTAGGTGTTTGGATGGAGGTGCCTGGGTCTGTTTACTTGCACGTTGCTGTGTTGCCAGGCCCCCGTGTGTTTAAGTGTCATGCTCCAGGGCCCACAAAATTCAGAGGCTGGCATGGGATCCTGGTTTTGAGGCCAGTGGGGCAGGGAATGGCTAGCATAAAAAATGATATGCGGCCTAAGAAATGGAAATGGCGTGCTGCTGAAAAGAGCTGTGATTTAAAAAAAAAAAAAAAAAAAAGAGAGAGAGAGGGAAAAAAAAGAGGTAATTTGAGGACATGGGAGGGATTTCCCATTCCCTACTGAGAAGACTTCATTTTCTGCATCACAACCGCCTCCCTGTTCCCTAAATTGCTTGAAATCATATGAGGGCCCACCAGAAATCCTAGCAAATTGTTCAAGGCTAAGAAGTAGAATATTCCAATCAATAATGTCAAATGCTTCACTGAGATTTACAAATTTCTTGCTCAACAGCTAATAAGAGATCATTAACTGCTCAGAGAAAATGGAAAAGAAAGCCTAACAGGAGACAATTAAAAACGCTGGGCCAATTTTCAGATCGGGTGTGAGTTGGTGAAACTTTGGGGCTGCTGGCATTGCATTTGCTCTCAGAACATTCTTCCTTGGCCAATTGCTATTAATATGGATCCTGATTCGGGAAAGCAATTGATAGTCGTGTATGGTATCCTGTAATTTGAATGGGATTCAGTCCACGGTTAAAATTAAGTGTATGCTAAAGAGCTCGTTTGAACAGAGGCCAAGGTGAGGGATGGTATTAACTGGAAAAGTCCTATTTAGAGTTTGTAGGACAGGAACTTATATTGAGGGGAGAAAAACAAGGGCAGGGAGAAGGATGTATCAGCTCCTTTAAGAAGCTCTGGAAAACGCTTCCCAGGAGGGGAATTCTTAGAACAGATGTGACTACTAAGCGAGAAAGGCAGAAGACTTGTCACCAAACATAAAGGAAGCAGCAGCACAGGAGAGAGGTTGCCTGGGTTTGTAGAGGGAGCCGTGGTATCTCCTGTTTGAGGCAGGGTAGGCAGGAGGAAGCCCAGGTGCTATTCCCGCCCTGCCTCCGGCTCCTCGTATGTCCTCAGGCGAGCCACTCGGCTCCCCGGCACTACCGTTTCCCTCCTGTAAAATAGCCGTAATAATACTTCACAGCTCATTAGTCAGTCAGTCCATATTGTTAGTTGAATGCTCTCAACGCTGATGATAAAAGGTGCTGCCTGTTGCATGGGAGGAGGAGTTGGATCCAGCAGATGCCAGTCAGGTGGCTCAACGCTTACTGGAAAGTGCCCGGATACGATCAGAGCAAGAGCATGGACAGACTAAGCAGGTAATGGTAGACAGACGGGTGGGTGTAGGGGGAGCATCCGGAGAGCAAACGTGAGTCAGTACCGGGGAGAGGAGGCGGAGGGGTTGCTGGGGCTGGCAGAGCTGGTGGTTGGGTTTGTTGTTGTTGTTTTGAGGTTTTGTTTGTTTGTTTTTTTAGCCTTTGGCTGGAATTATGCCTTTTAACTCATGCAGGCTTGTACACCTTAAAACCTTAGGTTGCTTGTTAACTGCCTAATCCCAGGCCATTGAAGTCGACCAACTTCTTACCACTGATGTGAGTAAGATCAATCAGGGTTAAATCTATCTCTGTTCAGATTAGTAATGCGATGGGAGCCAAAGGTTCATTGGGATGATTGGACTGGGCGAGATTGTCCCTGCCGGGCAACTGGCAGAAGTGAATTAACCTAATCAGACTTTGGGAGGAACAGGAGCCTGAGATATCGCTGAAGTGTCATCAGTCACAAATGGGGTAAGATGGGGGAAAGGAGCCACAGGCCAGACACCGAATATGTTGCTGGGAGCTGGGATGGCGAGAGGCTGCTCTCGGAAGTAGCCGTGAGGAAAATGTAGCCTTCCTGGTAATGAGCTGCAACGGCTTAATTCCAGCAGAGTCAGGAGGTGACAATAATTGAAAGCGAAATCTTAGTCACAGCAATGAACATGAGAGAGCAAATGACCGATTATGAACTAGATCAAAAACATCAAAACTGTTGTGCATGGGTAAGAAACACGGTGCGTGAGGCTTGATGGACAAAGAAATCTGATTAAGGGCAAACAAAACAAAGACGAAAAGGAGAGGGGACGAGCTCTGTGGATTCTGGCCATTGCTTCAGCAGTGCCATTACAGTGCGGATAATAGCCGGCAGGAGACCGGAGGCTGCAGTGAGAGACTAAATGGTCTCTGTGGGGCCTGATAGCCAAGACTTCAGTTGTCTGAGAAGTAGAACGAGCAAGACCTCAGTTCTTGTGGATCTGCATCTCGTAGTGGTGCTTGAATGAGGATTTTCTGATGCCTAATAAAGGGTGAAGCATCACAGACACTTTGTGTTGTGGGTGCAAAAATAGGATCTTTATTTTGCCCATGTGCCCATTTTTAGAGCTCTGAGTGACCCTGGGGTTCTCAGGAGCGTTCCCCATGTCAGTCGTCCTGGCCAGCAGATGAAACAGGTGCCACCAAAGGGCCGAAAACCCGCAGCTTGATTAGATATGCTTTGTGTCTTTAGGGAACTGATACAGAGAAGAATGGGAAGGGATGAGTACAATAACGAGTGAAGAAACTGCGAGGAACAAGCAAGCAGAGATATAAAGGATAAGGAAGCAAGATGAGACAGAGAAGTGTAACCGACTGGGACAGGGATTGGGGCTGGCAGTGGGATTTCCTATGTCCCAGTGATCCCTGTGCAGGCTCACACAGAGCCGTGGTCCAGGGATACCCCGCTGTCCTTGCCCCTGCCCTCAGTACCCGTCCGGGCAGGGCAGGTGGGGTGCACAGTGTTGCTGGAGCAGAACGGTAGGCGTTTAGCACTTGCTGTCTGCACAGAGCTGGCCAAGGATACTGGCTGATCTAACCGGGGTCCTAGCACACGCGTGCTCCTTTCTGAGCCCCACGCGGGCTTTGGACAGAGCCCTCTCCAGCTTGCTGCAACGTGCCAAAGGTGCAGGGGCAGGCTGGTCAGCAGGGTCTGGAGAGGGCAGTAATAGTGGTTCTTTGTCATGTGAGCTGCAAAACATCTCTGTCTGCCCTGAGCCGTGTGCAGGTGCTGCGTCTCCAGGCCAGCTCTATGGGGAGGAGCTGCAGCTGGGGAGAGGTCAGGTCTCCAGACAGGGTGTGTGAGCACATGTAGGCTTTGAGAGCGATGTCCTGTGGGCAGCTGTCTAGGCCGCCTGCCTGGCATACGGAGCAGACTCCCTCTTTCCTTAGTGTACGTGTTGGCTATACAGCACAAAGAAGCTCTAAGCTTTATTTAATTTTCTAGCCTTCAGTGCTAGTCCTGAAGGATGTCATTTTTTTTCCTTCCCGTTGCCCCCAGCTCTCTTCAGCCTTGCTGTTTGATGCTGTTTATGCTGTGGTGACTGCTGTGCAGGAGCTGAACCGGAGCCAGGAGATTGGTGTGAAGCCCCTGTCCTGTGGATCAGCCCAGATCTGGCAGCATGGCACCAGCCTGATGAACTACCTGAGAATGGTGAGAAGGGACTGAAGTTTGCTGACGTGTCAGTAGCTAGTGCTTTTCACTGCCAGAAGCAAAAAATGTGTACCTATACGTTGATGCTGGCAGAGTTTTCGAGCACAGAGTATCGGTCTGTTTGAAGGTAGCACCGGGAATGAAAAGAGAGGAGATCTGAGAGATGGTTTATCATCGGCCTTGGAACGACATGAAACTCTCCATCTTTCAGGCTTTGCTACAGAAAAAATGAAATTCAGTGAATTAAAGTATGAATGTTTCTAAGTGATTTGAGCCCTGTTCTGAGTGAACTTGAGTTGATACGAGGTCATGCAGTACAGCTGCTCAAAGATCAGTGGCAAGAGGTGAGCTTCCCTATGAAGGGGTCTGGACTTCTTTGAACCTGAAAGCATTGGTTACTGGAACAGATCAAACCTCGTTCTGGTACAAGAGCAGACCCCCAAGTTTCAGCCCCCTGAAACGGTTGGAGTTTGTCGCTCTGATCTCTCAGGACTGAACTTGAGCTGTGGTTTTGGACTGGAAGCGTGCAGAAGGAGCATGCTTTCTGATGCAACTGAAACCTCGTGAGACGAGGACATTTCGTGAGACTTTTTCCCAAAGGGAGGAGCAGCCGAACCTGAACCGTATGGTGCTTTGGCCCAGGCGCGTGAACCCTACTTTAAATCTCACCCTCGGTCAAAGGCAGTAAAATTCTTCAGCTTCCCCTGGCTCTTCTAGGAGGCCCATTAGCTCGCTGTTGTGACTGAAAAGGTGTTCCAGCAGCAAGTGAGCAGTGTTTAATCTGCACAATGAAGCTAGACAATCACCTTGGCTCCCTTTGCAACATGCTCCTGTGTTAAACACAAGCCCGATGCAGTGAAACAGCATGTAACGGCTTGTGGAGGAATCCCCAGCTAGTGATTCAGTGTGACACAGTTAAAAGCTCATGCCTGCAGCAGAGCGGTGCGTTGCTATCCCTGGGATGGAGGGAGGCGGTGAGGGGCCGGGGAGGGGATCGTTCCAGGCGGAGGGGAAACAGTTGGGCATGCTGCACCTTCCTTTGCTGGTTTCTCTGCTCCCCCCGCTCCGCTTTGCTCAGTGCTAGCCTGGCCAGACTCTGAGAGCAATTAGGATCGTGACGTGAAAATTGTATTACTTTGCCATCTCCGTGTGTCTAACGGGAGGCTGGATGCCGAGTGTGCTGAGCAAAGAGCAGGCACCTCAAGGCTCTGCCTGGAGCGGTGAGGGTGCGCTGGCTCGATGGGCGCTGTAACTCACTGTCTCTTGGACAGGTAGAATTGGAAGGTCTCACCGGCCACATCGAATTCAACAGCAAAGGTCAGCGATCCAACTACGCCTTGAAAATCCTGCAGTACACGCGCAACGGCTTCCGGCAGGTAGGACCGGCGCCGCTCGTCCTGCTCGTGCTTCTGTTTATAAGCTTGTGGAGATGCACCTATTGAGGGTGATTTGGTTGGGGAAAAACGTGAGCGTTTCCCATGAAACGTGGAGAAACGGTACTATCAAGCTCGCTGAACTACTCTCTTGCTTCCGTGAGGGAAAACTAAGGGGGAAATTCCATGTCAGCCGCTCCGCACCGTCTGTCCTCGGTACGTGGCATGCTGGAGCCGGGTGCAAGATAATTTACCTTTGGGTTTATGGTGCCTGCACTTCTGTAACTTGTTTGCTTAGCTCAGACTCTCATTTGCTTTTTGTCTCAGTGCTTGTGGGTTCCTCACACTGTTAGGCCTTTTGCCCTCTGCCTCTCTCTGAGGGATATTTTTTGGCGTGAGCTAAGGTTAAGGATACTGTGTGGTACCGCAGGTATGAAGTTGGTGAGACTGTAGGACACGTGTACAAGGAATTAGGGTTTTACTGGTGAATCCAAACTTCCTTCAGGAAATAAATGAAAGTCCTCGAAAATGGGTTTTCATCTGTCTTATTTCCATGTTGAGAGGTTCATGTCTGCCCTTTTCTCAGAGATTGCCACTTCTTCTAGGCACTGCAGAGAGCAAGCTGTTGTATCTTACCCCACACCAAGATAGCGTTTTTGGCATTAGGAAATCTCTTCTGCTGGCAGCAGCCAGTTTTAGCCTTGGCAGGAACGTTACCAGCCAGCTCTTACCTGTCGAGTGACAGCTCGGCTTTGATGTTGCCTTTAGCTCACTCTGAGTGAGCGGAAGATCAGGATGGCGTTTTCTCCACAGTAAGATTTCTTATAGCATCATTGCATTTTAACCATTTCCTGAACCCCCAGCATACTCTGAGTAAAAGTGACAGGTCCAAGCCCATCTGCTTTAGTAAGAGCATCCATTCAGCTGGAGCAGGGGAACTAAAAGCTTTAATACCCACTGTGATTGCTGTATTTTTAGTGTGCTTAAATGTGGCAGCGAGTTCACCTTAAATGTGCAGGTCCTCTTGGATCAGTACTTCTCCAAGAACTCCACAGAGATGTATCTCAGCTCCTCACTTGGATGACAGAAACGGTCAGTTTTTCTTACCATTGGTGAATAACTGTCTTTACAGTTTGGGGGCAGCTGATTTTCCAAGCTGTAAAAAAAGCTCTCTCCTTGTTATGGAGACCAGGCAAATGATCCCAACACTGCATCTTACTGACAAGGTCTGCTTAGCATTGATATGATGATGATTAAACAGCTTCTGCAACACAGTCTCCCTATTCAAAGAGCAGACCTCTGAAACGTGATGGTGTAAGGGTCTCTGCTTGTATTTCGGATGATGGACGGTCAGTCTTCCTTGCCTGTAGCTGTATTTTCCCTAAAGAGTGGTATGCAAACTTGCTGCAGGATCAAGGAGCGATGCTTGTTCCAGACCTCTCCTGTGGTGGGAGGTCTGTAGCCCCATCTGACACGTATCTCTGCTTTGCCCCACATTCCCAAAATGCACCAGGCAGGGAGGACAAGTGGTAGCAGGGGATTAACCCCAGCAGGTGGAGGCAGCGGGAGCATTGAATGCGCAGTGGCTTTGGGATGGTGCATCCCAAAGGAAATGGGATCTGCGGCCCATCTCCTTTGAGGCAAAAGTCTCAGCTCTTCTTCAGCAATCCCAATCTGACAGGAGGAAATCTTTTTTAATATGTTATATGCCATGGATCAGTTAAAAAAAAAAAAAAAAAAAAAAAGCAGTTTCATTTTTCAAGGTTTCCAATTAAAAAAAAAAAAAAAAAAAAAAAGCAGCTTCATGTTTCAAGGATTCCCAGGAAATCTGCGTCGGAGCTAAGCTTTTCAAATTTCCTATCAGAGAGCAGCGGTGATAAATTACTTCAAGTCACATTAACAAGGTGCTGGAAGGACAGGGAAATCCCTGGGTGCGCGTTACTGCCTGGTCAGAGCGTTGGTGGCTGCAAGCCCTTTCCTGGCAGACGCCCATCGCAGTGAAGTTATTCTTCATGAAACTGCTCTGTATTCCCGCAGCGGCCTTTCCGCAGGGTGGTCTCTCCCTGACGAGCAGCCCTGTTTTAGGCACCTCGCCTGGCTGAGAGGCAACGCGCTGGTGCAAGCCCCTCCAGGCGCTTCTTGCAGCCAGACTGCCCCTTCCAGGTCTCTGAAGCACATCTCCCAGTCCCGAGTTGCCCGTTGGTCTCCTCGGCTGCCAGAGTTGCGGATGCAGCTGGGCCCACGAGGCTTGGGCGCGAAACCTGGCGCAGTCGCCTGCCCGGTCCTGCCCCTGCTCTCCCCTCCCCATCACCGCCAAGGGAAACCACAGGTCTTGGGGTTGGAGCGACACTACCATGCCACGGGTGGTTATTTTCTTCTTAGCTATCCAGGCTTGTTGTAATGAAAATAACTGAATAAATCATTGGAAATCATTTAATTAAACCCACCGTGAGGAGATGGGGTGAGGAACAAATATTCACATCCTGGAGACAATTTTGTTCCCAAGGGTCGTATTAACTGATTTGCACAGGCTCTCGTTTGAAACGCTCGTATTCCCTCCTTTTTTAATCAAGCTCACGCTCTCTGCCCGTTTCTCTCTCTCTCTTTCTCTCTCCCTCTCTCTCCTTCCATCTATCGAAGCCACAGGGACTTTCGGTTCGTCAGCTTTGACAGAGAATTCACCGAGTCTTGAAGCTGATTCAGATCTCAGCCAGCAAAACAAATTAGAGACACTTAGATTTTCGAACTTGCTGCTGCTTTTGGGCAGGGAGAGACAAGGCTTTTTGGCATTTAATTTTTAATATATTTATGTAACGCACCAAACGTGTTTTTCCTGATTTAGCTTAACTAGTGGAAATTTTTCCCCAGCCGTATGAGAGCTGCTCTCTGTTCATAGGATGCCTGATAAAGCGCAGACTCGTTAATGTGTCGGTGATCCATAGATCTGACAAGAACTGAGTGTGTACATGTCATCTTTTTATTTTTTCCCCTTTCTTTACCCCCTTTTAAAAAAAACATTGCAGCAGGTTTCTGATTAGTGATTCGCAGTAAGCCAAAAACTAAGGTTTGGCAGCGTAACAGGAGAAGGGGAAAGAAGAGGGGATGTGATCCATAGGACCCCAAGGAGAGCAGGTATAAACAGGGGAGGCAGGGAGGGGTAGAGGGACCGGCTCTCCAGGCCCTGCGATGGCCCTGTCCCCCCCCAGCTCCCGCTGCTCCCCCTTGTTCTCTCCTTGCCCTAGGTGTGGCCAATTTGTTGCTGTTTAGCTAAAGGGCTAATTGGTATGGCGATGAGTTACCAGCTGATAGCTCCGAGACCCTCCGCAGTCCCCGCCACATCAAAACTTTTTAACTTATAAGCGGCTAATCAGTCGCGATGGGACTTGCTCCTCTAGCTGTTACCCCCAGCAAGAATTCAGGGGCAGATGCTGCCAAGAGCTGATGATCTGTGCCTCACAGGACCCGGGAAGATCAGTGCCTCCCGCGGTCAGGTCCTTACTGGACTAAGCCAGGTGTCAGTCATGTCCGAATGGGATGTCTGGGAAGGAAGGGGATCGCAGGGGTTGGTGAGTGGCCTCGGGAGGTGGGTCGGGTGGTTGTACAGGTTTGACTAGGTGGCTCTCTCTGTCCCATGCTACCTCTCTGAAGGCCTTGCTGGCGTCAGTCTTCCAGCGTCCTTCAGGAGTGTCAGCCACGTGGCAGACCTCTGTGGTGTCCTCTGAGGGGTTTCCTTTGTTTTTCCTTTTTTCTCCCCGAAGATGCTAGTCCTCTTCTCTTCAGGCTGATAAGGGCACCTATGTAAAAGTACCTACCTAACTGTACGTTCTGCTGGAACCAGTCCTTTTGCCATTAGCACCGATGAGGGTTTCCCAACGCAGACTTGATGAGAAATGATTGCGTTTTGCACTCCTTCCTTTTCCTGAGGACACGGAGGAGGGAGAGGTGATGAGTGCAATCTACAGGACAGCAGTTGCTATTCAGAGCCCAGATGATATCCGACTTTGTTGCAGAGGTAGTCTCCTGCCTTTTTCAAGACATCTGTGTTCAGGACTGGTTTTACGTGAATTTCTGATTGGGGGACTGGAGTGGTAAGTGCCCCCAGTGCCTCTCAAGTTTATGGAGAGGTCGTGCCATGTCATCTCTCCCTGCCATCAGCTGCCATTCAGGCCTGCGGGGCACCAAGCAGAAGACTTCATTAGCATCGTTAGTTTGAGTGGTGTTTTGTCATCTCATGCTACAAGGAGCTTGAAAGCCCAGGCGTCATTAGCGTGACTCCGTCTGATCTGGAGGAGCTGAACGGATTGAAGGAGCAAGTCTGGAACGCCGCACTTCGCCTCGCGTTAGGCACTGGTAATTTTCTACAGCGATGAGAAGTCTTTAAGTGTCATCGTTTCCGGTACAGTCCTCTGCCTGTTGCAGAGCAGCTAATTTGAGAAATCTTGCCTACCTGTGGAGATGGGGAAATGTCACAAGCAATGTCACTTTTTTTTTTGCTTATGCCAGGCTCAAGTGCTTGCTCTTCAGGTTGGTTTGCACTGAACTTGTGTGTTAGCTCCCGGCCTATAACAAGGACACATAACAAGAAACACCTTTTACCTCAAGGCACTTTGCAGCCCTTGCAGCGAGGACAGGCAAAGGGAGGCTCGTTCCCCCGCGCGGATGTCTGCAGCGGCGCCAGGAGCGAGCCGGGCGGAATGAGGGAATGGAGGGACCTTTCCCCATCCGGGCCACGGGCTGTTGCTTGCCACCAGGTCACGTTATCCTTTTCATAAAGGTATCGAGCTCCAGCTTGCAAGCAGGTGGTTGCGTTGCTCTCTTTGCTCTGCTGGGAAAGGTACTCCGTCACTTCAGCTCCTCTGATCATTAGAAATCCTCTTTTACTTTTCAGCCTGTTTATTCCTGGCTGGTTTATATCTATTTATTTTTGTGCCAACGCTGTCATTTTAGCTTCAAAAGCTGTTTCTACCCTTTGCTATGGACCTCCTCCACCTGCTGTATTTTTATAGACCAATCATATCCTCTTTTAAAATCTCCCGAATCCTAAAAACTCCTGAGTCCTAGTCCAGAGCCTTAACAACAGGATCATCTAATCCAAATCCGAGCAGAACATTTGATTGTTTTCTACAGCATTTTGCAGATGAGCGTTTTCTGTTTTTCAGAGGTCCTTTGTACATAAATAGAGATGATTAAAATCGCCTTGACACCCATCTTGCAATGAGGGAGAGATCTGAGGATCCCAGGCATCTTCTGATACATTAAACTTCAGAAACACCGAACTGTGTGAGGAGACGATTAGTATTATTATTTTACTGTCGGGGGGTGTCAGTTGTGAGCTGGAACAAGCCCAGAGCGGGGTGGAAGTACCCCAGCACATAGAAGTGTTTAGCCTTGGTGCTGTGTAAAAAGCAAGGTCAAATCCACTGCGCTGTCAGAGGAGGCGGCAGTCAATTAGTCTCAATATGCCAGCAGGGGAGGGACAAATTTGAGAGCAGTGAGGGCTGTTGAAATTGAAGTTAATCTGTCGCTAATCTCTGGTTGTGAAATCTGGAAGAAAAAGAATTAGGCAGTGTTTGTGACTGATCACTCACTCAGAGATGCAATTGCTGCAGAGGGTCTTTTGTTTGGCAGGCACAGCAAGAGCTTTTGTGCAGACCTGGGGGATACGACCAGGTAAAATCCATCCTGTTGCACCTGTACAGTCCCTGCGTGGGCCAATTTAAGTTGTGCTTCAAGGACTCTGTGTCCATGAAGTCAACGGTAAATCTCCTGATTTGGGACTGTCCTTTCCAGAAATCAGTCCTGCGCTACAGTGTCACTGTGATGCTACGAGCTTGGTGGTAGTTAAGCCACAACAAGCTGTCAAGACAATACACGTCTGACACATCCGTCGCTGCCTCAATCTCCCTGTTTGCCAGACGAGGCTAATGAGCCCTCAGTGCCTCTCGTGTTGGTGGTGAGCCTTGAAGAGTTAGTGCTTGCAAAACACTCGGAGATCCTTGCCGTGACAAGTGCTTTTAGCAGAGTGATATTAATGTTGTAGAAGGGGCTGGACTGACAACTCTGAGGAATGATCTTTGTTGTGTTATCTGCAGAGTAAACAAGACCTCCTCTAGGGACTCAGCTGGCTCTACCTATGCAGCTGCATCAAGATGTCTCTCTGCCAGCCTGGGAGCAGAGGGAAATGCATGCAGCTGTCCTCTGCAGAACGGCACAGAAAGCAGTAGACTTGAAGTGTAACCTGTCTTGTTTGTACTTCCCCATTGCCCGCTTGTTCCTGTGCCTAGAGATGAGGAGACTGGATTTAGGACTCAGGACTCGGGCAAAAGCTTTTTGAGGCTCTTCAGTTACTTGGGCTGGATTGGAACCTATAGCCAGGAAAAGAAAGGACTTTGCCCTTTTCTCAGCTTCCAGAGCAATTCAGTTGCCTGTCAAGGCAGCCGCGTGGCTGCCGTTTCAGGCTGTGCTCAGCTCAGACTTACAAGCTGGGAAGTGAATCTGAGGTCCTTAAGCCATCAGTCATGCCAGAGGAAAAGCACTGCCAAGAAGAGCTCCTGAGTACCTGGGGTAAATCCTTGGGTGATGTAAATCAGCGTGGTTTCCATTCATTTCCGTGGCAATGCACTAGCCTGGCCCTTAGCTCTGCATCGCCTTCCACCCACCTCTTTGAACATAAGATTACTGTTTGAAGGAAGAGAAATTGATTTGTTCCTACCTCCCTGACAACTGTGGCACAGCAAAAAGATAACCTGCCTTAGACTGACAGTGTCTGAGGCTGTTTGTATCAGTATGAGGGAACTGTGGAACAGGTTTGCTCTGGTACCATGGCTATAGAGGAGTCCTGAAGACACTGTAGGATTTTGGGGCCACCAGCTGCCTCCAAGAGCTGTAGTGGCTAGCTTCAGTGATGTCAAAGGACCTGCTCTGTAGCTGGCCCTTCAGCATGCATAGGACAAAAGAGAGCAGGAGCCTAATTCTCATGCTCTGAACTTACTGCTAGAGGTGCTAATCTCCCTGTCCAGCGCTCTGAGGGAGTTTAGGCTCTGGAAGTTAAAAATAGATTTTGTGAATATTCCTTCTCCTTGCTAAAGTCAGCATCCGGTTATGTTGCATCACAGCTGAGTCATGGTGTTCTCCTGAGCACTAGGGGGGAACTGTCCTGTTGCACTGGTGGTGTGACTTTGGTTTACTGCAGTGATACAGATGCTTGGATGGGGTGAATTAGCCTTTCCATGGAGCTGTTGGGCGTGATGGGCTTCAGTCAAGTGGTTTTGAGGTAGTTAATCATAGTAGTTGGCATCCATTATACCAGATAGAGATGAGTCACAGTGCAGAACATGGCTTTATTTCATGCCTGCTGTTAAGGTGAAGCTGCTTGGTCAAGGTTAGAAGACATTTGCCCCAGATCGATGCCACTGGCCTCTGGCTCTTAGCAATGGAAGCTGTGATACTCCTTTTGAAGTGGCTTTTTCCTACGAGGATTGATAGTGGTCTATGCTAGCATGTAATTAATGAGACTTCCAGGAGGAGACCGAGAGGTTACGCTTGCCTTCAGGCAGGTGAAATCCTTTGCTAAAAGTCATAGAGACGACGTAAGGCGGAGTTGGGGGCAGCCACCCCATCTCCCTGTTTCTGGGCTCTCACCACGGAATCACTGGGCTTCAGCACTTCGTGAAGTTCTTCCAAACTGTGTCAGTATTGCAGAGTATCTGTGCGCGGCATCACAGCGAAAGAGCTCAGCATGATGAGCCCTGGCTGTTGCGCTCATCAGAGGATGGTGTAGCCGAGTTAGACCAGGGCTATGGCGTTGCCTTTCCCAGCAGCATCCTGCCAAATGCTCCTATGTCATGTCTTCTTTAGGATTTTACCTTAAGAGAAGTGAGGAGGTGAAGGGGTCAGCAGAAATGCATCACTTTTGGGAGCGAAGACCAAGTCTTCATCTTACAGCTGTTACCTAGCTGTTGTGCCTTGGCGTGATGGACAGGAAAGGCTCCTGACAGCATGGCAGGGGGATGGAAAGAAGGTGCCGGCCCTGGCCATGTGGGACTGCCAGGTGGGACAGACCCGTCTCGGGGACATGCTGGCGACAGGGCCGCACGCTGCTTTGCCCCCGGGAAGCCGCCGCCAGCGCAGCGCTCTCCTGCCGTGGGGCTTGGCCACAGCAGCGGAGCGGACACCTGGGACGGCGGGGACGAGTTTGGGGGTGTCGCACAGTTGGGGGAGTGCCAGGGCTGCACGGCAGGGGATCGATCTGCCCGTTGTACTGTAGTTGGGGTGCATCGTAAAGGTAATGGAGCATTCCTAAATACCTTTTACAGGGCTGCCTTGATGGTTGTCAGTCACCAGAGCCATATGGCAGGTGCGTACAGTAATTTGTCCTGTAAATTTCATTATTGTACTGTTTATCTCTCCAGATTGGCCACTGGCATGTTTCTGAAGGGCTCAGCATGGACAACAGAATCTTCTCCTCCAACATATCAGACAGTCTGTTCAATACCACCCTCATTGTCACAACCATCCTGGTAAGTGAGGGGGTCACCTACAGTTCCCATTAGCTCTTTGCCAGCCCAGTGTTTACGGGGTGTTAATCAGCTAGAATATTATTCCCTTCTCCTACCCCCTTCTGCCCCCAGCATGCAGCATTGCACACTGATTGTATAAAGAACAGACGATCAAATCTCTAATTACAGCACTGAGGACAATTCATGACAGTGTAATTAAACTCAAGTTGATGTTTCATATGGAAATGATATTTGATGAGTTCAGAAGCAGCTGGGGAGAGGTCTGGGATGGGGATAAGTTGCCATTCTACATTCATCTGTGAATGATGTTCTTGTTCTGCGTACAGCTGGTAAGTTGGAAGGGACAGTTGTCCTTCTACCCATGAAATTACTAAAATTGCCTAAGATGGGTGTAACCTGAGACTCCACATCTACAGGCGCTACTGTCCTCAGGTGAAAAAATTCCCCTTTCACAGGCTTCCTATCCAGCACTCTGCTAGCTATCCCTTGATTTTTTTTCCAGTGCCTCTCCTCCTTCTTAAAGACACTGAAAATCCTGAAGCACTCTGGGTGCTTTTGTTCCCACTAAGTTTCTTTGAAAAAGAGGCCAAACTAGAGAAGCAGTGGTCATATGCCTTTTTTCCTGCCCATGTCAAAGGAAGATGGGACCTCTATGTCCTGCCATAACTCAGAGCAGTCACCAGGCTGCTCTAGCGTCTGCTAGTTGGAAACAACCACCAAAGCATGATCCCTTAGCTCTGACTCATACCCTAAAGTGGGATAAATCTGCTGCATCTTCTGTGTATTCCTGACACAGCAAGGGCCAGCAACTACCAGTGTAGAAATGGCTCTGCTGGATTTACACTCCCTTGGGTTCCCAAGAGGAGGCTCACATCAGCTTTCAGGGTCTTTTACACCCTGGTCGAAAGGGACGTACCCAGACTGGAGGTTGGCCTGGATGCGCGTTATCAGAGGCTCTGCCGTCCCAGCGCCCCAGGGAGCCCACCCCCCTCTGTCCTTGTGGCTCAGTGCCGTGCTGGTGGGACTCCTCGGCTAAGATGGGAATGACAGCTGCCCAGTTTCGATGCAGGAAAACCCTTACTTAATGCTGAAGTGGAACCATCAGGAGCTGGAAGGCAATGACCGCTACGAGGGCTTCTGCGTGGACATGCTGAAGGAGCTGGCAGAGATCCTGCGTTTCAACTATAAGATCCACCTCGTTGGTGATGGAGTGTATGGAGTCCCCGAGGCGAACGGCACATGGACAGGGATGGTCGGGGAGCTGATTGCTCGGGTAAGTGAATTAGCCGTTCCTTTTAGCTGCGCTGTAGTGGGACTTGGCAGTGAACAGCCCTGATGCTTTATTAAGTGCTCCAAGATGATAAGGTCAAATTCGTGTTTTAGTCCATTCATGAGACTCTGACAGGAGGATCTCGATTTAATGGGGTCTCCTAATTGCAAATGCATTTGTGTCAATGTGACAGTGTTTGAAGTAGACCTGTTAGGACCCCTGTTGGGGGGCTCTGTTAGAGGATGTTCGCTTCTGCTGGAAGATAGGCCTGGAATTTGAGATCCCTGGGTAAGAGCTGGTTACAGAACGTTTTTTTTTTTTTTTCCAGTGGAAAAATCAATGAAAACTTGAAATAGGCAAATATGCAAACTCTGAGTGTTGGTGGAAACTGAAGAAATCGTACAGAAACAGACGTGGGGTGGGGTGGGGGGAGTAAACATCACATTTCTACCCAGAAAAATTTGGGCTGGTTTGTTTCAGCTCCTTGACTTTCAGTATCATTTTTGGCGGGGAACGTTCTTGTTCGCTTGAAATACGTAGATTGAGTTCTTTTCACAGCTCGGATCCGAGGTGTTGCGGCACAGCAGCTAGACTGAAAGCACGATGCTTTTTCTGGGTTCGACAACAATCGTGCGCTCGTGTGTCCTCGCTCAGGCTGTACCCCCTTCTCTGTTCTTTGTTTGCCTCAGCAGCTAAAGGTAGTCCTTCCCCGGGGACCCTGAGGCTGAAATGAGTTTCAGAGTTGCTGAAATGCTCTGAGATTCTTAGTAAAATAGGCTTAGGCAAAGCCAACGTTTAAGATTGATATTACTTAAACCGATGCCTCCTTGCTCACCGATTTCTGTACTACCTTGTTATTACTGAAGCACCTGTGAGAACCCAGTGACAGTTTCTCCGCTGGTGGCAAATCTGCACCGAGGTTTATTTGTGATAACATGCAGTGCTCCGTCAGAGGAACACCTGAGCTCCTCGCACTGGCAACGGGTCCTCCTGCGGAGCAGAGAGACTAGGCCTGGATCCGTCCTCTCTGGCATCAGGCAACGCACCGGGGCTCCTAGCGCAGTTGCTGGCCACGAGCATCTCTAGAAGCAGTGTCAGCCCACCAGCATCTGGCTATCGAGGGAGAGACCTGGCTGGCTGCAGAGCTTCAGCCAAGTGTCTAAATTTGGGTGGGACAAATCTGGATCTGAATGAGTGTTTTAAGGCCACACAGGACAGGGAAGAGCACTGACTCAAAGTCCCTCTTTAACCAGCGCCCTGTCTTCCAGATCATCCTTTCCCCAGTGGAGCGATAGCATTTTGCGCCCGCTGAAATTCCACCTCCGTCTGGCTCTTCTAAGGAATTTTCTGTACGGTTGTTTGCAAATGCTCTGGGCTGTTGGCATAGTTTTTATACATCTATATTTTTATATATGTATATACGTATACAAATACATATAAAACAGTTCTGCAACGTCTCTCTGGGGAGGCAAGAAGGAAGGCGCACAAAGCAGCGTGTGATCTCTGCAAACAAAGGGAAGGAAGAGCCATCAGATTTTTGACCTATAACCTTGGCAGTGCCTCTCTATTAAATGGGAGCTTCTGGAGGGGTTTTATTGGTAGAGATAAGTGTTTTCCCTTCATCTTTGCAAAGAAACAATTTGTTTCTTCTAAAAAAATCAGCAGGACAGCTGGCAAACCCTGTGTGAAGCTGAATCAAAAACTGGAGAAGAGAAAAAGCTTTCTCTGCTTTGTTCCTTCTAGACCCTTTAGAGTTCTTATAATGCTTCCGGTGAGTTTTTGATCGTTCCCAGGGACTGACGCTTTGGCTCAGTTCAGCCAGGGCAGATCTGGCCTTGTGCATGCTGTGGTGTTTATTTGGGGTTGTTTGGGATTTTGCTTTCTGAGGTTGTTTCACTGCCCTAGGGGTTCCCCTCCTTCTGTGACAGAAGGGAATTTTTCCTTGTTCCAGCCCCTTATTCATCCGTGAAACCACCTTAAGGACCACTTGAAACAGAAGGGCCGGAAGATGGTATGTTGGGCTCATGCGTGCTTTCTCGCTGGATTTGTTCCCTGAGTTGTTCTGCCTCCAACTTACCCCTGTGTAGCCTTTGGCACGGCAGGACACTGGTCAGGGCACAAACCTACCATCGGGGTCAAAGCATCCTCCTACCACGAGTGAGAGCTCTGCGCCTCGCTCTTCGTGCCTTGCTGCATTCGTGTAAGAAAGTGGTTCTTGCCTGCCTCTGGCCGGCTGATGAGAAACATGAGGTTTGATTAGCGTGCCTGGCCAGTAGCTCAGTAAACGCCCCAGGTCCGTGTAGTACCTTTCCACTATTTTTTTTGCCTTTGTAATCCTCCTGTGGCACTGAATGTCCTCAGAGCAACTATAGGCTATATGGGAAAAGCATTTCATTTTATTGCTTCTAAATTAACCAGCCATTGATTTATTCTTATGTGCTGAAAATTCTATTACAGCTAATTGTGCACTGTAATATGATTGAGAAGGAAGCTATATAAACATAAATTTGTTGTTGACCCAAATTTACAAGTACATATCTTATCGACCTGCTCGCAAAAGTAATTAAGTGCTAAGGAACATGGGGACCGGGATGGCTTGGGGGATTAGTGAAAGGGCTGTAGATACTCCCACGACTAGGTCGGCAGTTTGACTCAGGTTTGGCTTGGCAAAAATCACTTGGAAGGACTGGAGCCCCTTCCTTAGTGAAAGATGTCACAGACTCGTAAAGTACCAAACTAATTGGTCCCATTGTGAATCTGGGGGCAGGAAGGCTGAACTCCTTTCTTCCTCCTTGAGTGAGCAGGGGCATAAAACCACTTTTCAGATGGCATATAGTTCCCCTTAGCCTTGCCAGGTCCTGAGATAAAGACTTCAATCTCCAGCCATTAGGGTGACACTTTACATGTGTCCTATGCGTAAGGAGGAACAATAAATCTTTCGGTCTCCTATTGTTTGGTGTCATAGCCTTCGGGGACAATAGGGAAGGGCTGAAAGAATTATGTCTTGCTTCTTCCCGGTACGGTATAGTCTCTGGCTTTGAGTCCCTAATGGTTATGTTGTCTTCTCTTTCTTTTCTTTTCTTTCCATTGCGTCCTCAAGCTGGAATGAATTCGCTAGTCCGATACAGCCAATGAATGTATTTTCAAGGCAATGTGACAGCTTTCTCTTTGTTGTGCTACAGCTGTATTTGCTGTCTTGGTAGTAGCTTGTATGCAGTGCCTGTACGTCAAGTCGCAGTGAGCCTTCGGTGATTAACTCCCTTGCTGTCCTGGCTGGGAGGAGATGGGCTTGTGCCCGAGAGACCCTTCAGCAGCAATTCCTGAATTTGCCCATCTCAGAGCTGTTCGTGGAGAATAGAGCTAAGCTAAGCTAATAGGGGGTGGGTTGGTACGGTTTTGCCAGGAAACTTTGTTGGCAGCCATCTGAAGCTGCAGTATTTCTATAAAACCTCCTAGAAACTTCTCCGCTCTGCTGCAGTCAGGGATCAGGCTCCCGTGCTGTTAGGTGCCAGTCCCTTGCCCAGAGCACCTTGCTCTCGCGCCCGAGGCTGGTGCTGCTGCAGAAGAGGTGGTTGGTCTCGTGCCACCAAGAGCTATCTCGGGCCTCGGGAGCAGCAACATCAAGAACTGAAAGGATCGGGGGTGAGGTTTCAGCATCATTGCTGGTGGCCAGGTGAAGGTGAGGTGTTTTGCAAACAAAGAGAGACCCTCTGCCTTCACCTGCTCCGAAGACAGGGAATGGCAGGCAGGGGAATGGAGTGGAAAGGAGGGAGAAGTTATTTCAAAATTGGCAGAGTCCTGCTCTCCGCTTGGTAGTGGGTGTTGGTGTTCAGCAAGAAAAGCTGTGTGTGGGTGAAGGGAGCGAGGGGGAGCCTGCTATCGCGCTGGCAGAGCTGACACGGGCGGCTTGAGGAGGACGGGGAGGGGGGCGAGCGGGGGAAGTGAGGCAGCGTAGGCTGTTGAGCAAACACAGCGCGGCGGTGGGCAGCGAGGTTTTGCATCACGCCACTGACTGCCAGCATCGTGCGTAAGGTGGTGCGTGTGTTGCGAGCTAGCTAGGGCTCCCTCCTGGTCCCTGGTGTGCCGTAGGGTCCCCATCCTGGCTGGCCACCTGAAGTGGCTTTTGCCAAGGGCACAGCGGGCACCAGGCACTGACTTTTTCCTCATGTTCCTAGAGGCGGTAGCCCTCCGCCCAGGTGGTGGCAGGCTCGGGGCTGAAATCTGCGCTGATTGCTGACTGTCCCATCCCCATCTGTGGCTTAAATGGAGGGCTGCGGCCTCCAGGGCTTTCACTCCGTCACTTTTCATATAGCTGAATTCACACACATCCTTTAAAAAAAAAAAAAAAAAAAGTTACAAGTGACCCTAATTTTGCCCCAGTTTTAAATGCAAGAATATGCATCCAAGTGCCCAACCAGGCTCCTGTTCACTCTAGCGGGAGGGACTGCAGGACCCAAAATAGCTCCTGTCAAATCAAATAGGCAGCTGGAGCAGAAGCAATCAGTACATTGATCCGGCGGCGGCGGAGCCGTTCCCATAATGCCAGCGGACAGATATGCAGATACACATAGGCCAACCTGTTCATCAAC